ATAGGACATTGTTGAATATGGTCAGATCTATGCTAGGCTTCTCAACTCTCACCACATCTTTTAGGGGATATGCTCTACAAACTGTATTATACTTATTAAATGTGGTTCCATCTAAGTCTGTTCCTAAAATACCCTGGAATTGTGGAATGGACGTAAGCCTAATATAAGACATATTCGAATATGGGGATGTCCAACACACGTGCTAAAAGAGAAGACAAATAAGATAGAATCAAGTTCGATAATATATATATATTTGTAGGGTATCCTAAAGGAACAAAAGGATATTACTTCTATAGTCTTCAGGATAAGAAGGTATTTGTAAGTAGAAATACAACCTTCTTAGAGGACAAGTACATAGAAGAACATGAATCCAAGAGCAAGATTCTTTTGGATGAAATGAGAGGAAACATTCCAAGCTCATCTAGTCCAGAGATCCACACTGAACTTGCTCAAGAAGAATTCGTGCCTACATCACCGATAGTCTCTAGGCACAGCGAGAGACAAGTGGAGATCTCACCTTCCATACCCGCTGAAATGCCGGGACACATAGTGGTAGAAGGTGAAGTCCCAACTGTTTCATCACCACATGATAATGATGCTGGAGAAGAAGTCATAGGACAGTTACAAGTTCCAATCAACCAAGAACTTATACCGCTTCGACGTAGTGGGAGGATCACTCGGTTACCATCCAGAAACTTACTCTATGGAGAGTCTTTCGAGCCAGTCTCTACTGAGCAANTACTTACTCTATGGAGAGTCTTTTGATGCAGTCTCTATTGGGCAAGAAGAGGATCCCATGTCGTTCAAAGAAGCTATGGAAGATACAGACGCTGACCAATAGATGAGTGCCATGGATTCAGAAATGAAATCCATGTACACTAACTCATTCTGGGATCTTGTAGATGAGCTAAATGGGATAAAACTCATAGGGTGTAAATGGGTCTACAAGAGAAAAAAGAGAGTAGACGAAAAGGTGTAGACCTTTAAAGCTATACTGATTGCTAAGGGTTTTACCCAATGAGAAGGCATTGATTATGAAGAAACATTCTCTTCTTTAAGTCTATAAGAATCCTCTTATCCATTGCATTTTTATTATGAGGTGTGACAAATGGATGTCAAAACTACATTCCTTAATGAAAATCTTAATGAAAGCATATATATGATGCAACCAAAAGATTTTATCCAAAAGGGCCAAGAGCATAAAGTATGCAAACTGAAGAAGTCTATTTATGGACAAAAGCAAGCGTCTAGGTCTTGGAACATCAGATTTGATCAAATAATTAAGACTTATGGTTTTGATCAGAACCTTGATGAG